CCCTTGGCGGCCAGGCGGACCTAGTCCTGACGCTTGCGGGAAACCGGAGGGCCAGCCTTGGTGGGGCATCTGTAAAATGTGACGTGGCTGAACAGGCTTCAGATGGGTGATGCCCGATGCACAGAGATCGCCCATCGCGTCTGTGCGAGATCCGAAGGCTTGGCGGAGGCAGCGTCTGGTGACTTAGCCCCAGGGCTTGCTGCGAAGAGCTCCCTCCTTACAGGGTGAGAGCTTCCTGAAGCAAATGCCGTGCATATTCCCAATATCGGACCGGCCAGGGGGGCTCTGAGCAACATGACAGGCATATTCATGAAAGCCGTCAAAATCCTTAACCAGATCAAACTCAACCTCACAGCCGTCAAGTCCATGCCGACTCATAGCGACCCGATAGGGCAGGATAGACCTGCTCCTGTGGACTTCCTAGACCTTAACGATTTATGGAAGTAGAACACCTCAGAGCTGCTGGTGGTTTTGAACTGCCGACCTTGAGGTTAGCAGCCCAACCCATAAGGCAAAAAGTACATCATCCTTTATAATTAGGCTGTTAGAGAGTACTCCTTAAATAAGTACGAGGTGCAAATATTAGAAAGTCATGATGCGTAGTGAGTAATTTTGAATATGACAACGTAAAACTTAAAATTGATGGGTAAATAATGTGGGCGACATCTGTAATATGACGAATGTTACTTTTTAAAGGAAATGTAACACTAATATACAAAGAAGATCTCCTAAACTCCCCAAATTCATTGCCATTGAGGCAATTCCAATTCATATCCACCTTATAGGTCAAGGTAGAACTGCCTCCGTGGGTGTCGAAATTGTAAATCTTAACAGGAGTAGAAAGCCTTATCTTTTCTCCCTAGGAACAGCTGGTGAATACCTTTGGCAATTCTAGATAGTTTACTCCAAAGGAATCATACCATATTTATTCATTTTTATCTGATTTATTTTAGTTTTTTGTTATACTGTAGTTTTTCCCCAAGATTCATCCATATCATAGCATTTATGCTACACTTGATATTAGCCAAAAGGCCAAGAAGTGATGAGCATTTATGAAAACTTACCTGTTTTTATTACTGATTAATATTGCACTTGTAAAGAGAGTACGTTTAACCTATTTTGGCATTGGGGCTTCCATAGAAGAAGATAAGATGTGTATATCAAATCTAGAGCATATACAATGAACAAAAAGATGATCTTTTACATGGAACAGAAGAAAATATTTGTAGACACTAAAGTGAAGCAGCTGATGTATATGCCATTTCAAAACATCGAATGGTGCTGCTCAAGAGGATAGCCAACAGGCAGTAATCAGCCACTGAGAGGCATTATGCAGGGATCCGTGTAACTTAAAACAGAATCCTCCAGTTCCAGTACGACAGATAGATTTAGGAAATGACAACTCTGAGTGAATACTGTCAAGCAGGAACTTATGAGCAAGTTAAGGATGTCTGGGAGGTGGCTTGAACATGGGGATTGGCTGTCACAAAGTCAGGCAGATAGTAGATGGATGCTATCATGTAGAAGTAGATGGGTCAAAGAGCATGCCCGTCAGTTAGAGGCTATAGAGCAGTGAATGCTTCCCCAAGTGGAATGTGGATAATCCTGGGTATGTTAAAATGCAAGTTTTTATTTCCCATGTCTTATGTGTAGCTTCCTGAGACCTGTTGGTCTAGTGGTTAAGAGCTTAGCTGCCAGCTGAAGGTCAGTGGTTTGAACCCACCAGCCACTCCGCAGAAGGAAGAGGTAGCAGTCTGCTTTGGTACACATTGCCTATGGGGCAGTCCCACTTTAGACTATGGGGCATCTAAAAGTTGGAATCCACTTGGTAGCAACAGGTTTGGTTTGGGGTGTAGATTGTGATTCTGTGTATCTAACAAGCCCTCAGTTTGCCGAATAACCAGTGTATGAAATGAAGTTGTTAATTAAATTTAATGCGATGAGAAACAGCGGTAACAGTGTAACAGTGGTAATAGCGAAGCTAATACCTAAAAGGGAGACATTGGTAAAATGACCATGCAAGAGATAGATCATTTAAGTTGTGACTGAAAACTAAAATAATAGGAGTCAGCTAGATATGAAAGCTGGGTGGGGTCCAGGGAACAGAGAGAGGGCGAAGAGAGCTTGGAGAATACTTCAGTGATTTTCTGACTGAACTTGTTGATCAACTCATAATGTTGAAAGTGAACATGTTCAGGAGTTCACCCAGATTTTTTGAAAGATTGAGGACTGCTGGTGTTATGGTCTAAAAGCAAAGAGGAAAACCCAAGTTCATGGGGAGTAAAGAAGTGTTCATTGCAAAATCAACAGGAAAACACCCGATGTAGGCAAGACATAATTAAAAAGCAGAGCACAATAGAAGAGATTTAACCGCACATAACGGAAATGTGATGGAACAGGGTGAGTACACTGGCCACACTTGAATCATATGTTCTCCCTGAGACTGCACTCATTATGCTGTGCTGTGTGCTGATGGACAAGAAGCAGGTTATGTAGGAGAACACACCCATTCATCCTTGGACCCCGAGTCTCAGGAGAAAATCAGGTCCCACTTTCCCAGCCTTGTTCTGGATGCTTTCCATGCGCTAGAGTCTAGAGTGAGGGAATCCTCTTTGTGAGATTAGTTGCCAAAAGTAAGAGACTTGCATAGTTGTGTGACGATCCAGGTGTGTCCTCTAGAAGGCTGCTCTGTCTTAAGCGCAGATCTGCTCAGGGTGGCGCATAGCCCTGAGTCTGAGAGAAAGTCTTGTCCAGGGAAAGGGCTGAAGACCAAGAACCTGTCCCTCCCTCCTACTCAAACACTGTCTCCCTCCATCTCTTCCGTTCCAGGTCTCACACGTGGCACAGAGAGAACTAGTCCACTCTAGGTTGTGACCATCTTCTGCATCCTTGTTCTCACAAGTAAGGGTTTCAACGGCTCCGACGAGCTGTGTGGACCAAGCATTATCCATCTACCTTCCTACTGCCCGCCGACTCTGCTTCCACTCCAATCCAAGTGACTACTTGGGCTCACTGAGGATATTCACTTAACTGCTACCTGCTCTAGCCAGGAAATGGTGAGTACCACAGAGAACTGGGTTATCTTAGTATAAGGGGGTGAGGCTAAGTATGATTTGGTAGGGAACCCTGTCGTGTGTTCTGTGATTACTCTTGATGTAAAAGATAACTGAGGGGCCAAACTGTCAGTCCTAAGAGATATCTTAAGACCTTGCCCCACTGTCACCTGGCCCTTTCCTACACAGTTTTTCAAGCCTTGATGTCTGGGGTTACCTTCCACATGTGGCTCTCAGCGTTGGCACCATGGGACCTTCACATCCCCAGCCTGGGCCTTGGTGCTCAGGGCAGAGTCACAGAATGTCCTGGGTGGAACCTGAAGATGGAGCAGCTCTGGTTGAAGAAGCTGAGCCCCAGGTCCTCCAGAGCCATCCTTGCCCCTTAACTGCAAACAGTGTTCTTGACATTGAAGCTTTTTCTGTAGCGTTCTAAGTTATTGCTCTAGTTCTCAGCCTCATGCGATAAAGAAAGGAGAATGGGTTTGTAGGGGCACAGCCGTGGCATTTATGGGACTGTACCTGGGGCTTGACACTCTCATGACTTCACCAAAGGAATGAGACCAGAAAACTAGTTCAAGTGGTTTGTGTGTGTGTTCTCCAAAACCATGATTTGTATCTGGTGGTGAATAGTTTTGTCTCAGGCTTTTAGGTGTTCAAGGAGCATGATATCAAATTCAAGTTCCTGCCCTCTCAGGCTGTCTGTGCTTAGTGGTGGTATTATTACATTTCTAAAATTTGTAGCGGCTTCCAACATCTTAAGTTAAAATGTAAAATTAAAATTCTCTTTAAAACAGCTGAGGAAATCAGATGGTGGGTGAGATCTTACTGTCGGACCAACAGTGGGGCCAGCCCCATTGGTGTGATCCAGAGGCATGGGGGTAAATCAGCCTCTAAATGCCATTGGAAAGGCCTGTTTCATGTTCAGAAAAACATAGTCTGCCAAAGTCAGGTTGAATGGCGTCCAGTCTTGATGCTGGGTAACCTAGGGACTGACGGTCAGTAATACTTTCTGTCGTTGAAACACAACGTCCTGATCATTTATTTAGCTTGTGATATTGGAGGGTGTCCAGGCCCTCGGTTGTAACACTTGTAGACACAGAGGGATGAGTGACACAGAGGGAGCCATGTGATAGTAGCACCATAGTAGAGAGGGGAAAGAAAACTGAAAACCAGGAGGAGGAGGGGTGTCCTTGAGAAAGGGAGTCCGTTTAATGTCCTTGTCGAACTATCGATCAGGGCATCTGATCCATCAGTCCCTCTTGCTCCATCCCAGCATTCATCCTGGGCAGGATCCATGTTGGGTACGTCAGATACCCCACAATCCACCCCTTCCTGCCCGGCTCTTACAAGCTTTCATTACAAGCTCTTACTTGAGCTTCAGGGTCAGAATGCAATGTCAGGATGGGAGTGCAGAGCACCCCTAAACCTTTAAAGCAGCAGTCCTCAACCTGTGGGTCGCGACCCCTTTGGGGGTCAAACGACCCTTTCATAGGGGTCGCCTGATTCATACCAGTATCAAAATTGCAGTGATAAAGTAGCAACAGAAATAATTTTATGGCTGGGAGAGCGGGGGTGGCGGTCACCACAACATGAGGAACTGTATTAAAGGGTAGCAGCATTAGGAAGATTGAGAACCACTGCTTTAAAACATTGCAATCAACACCAAGTCAGAAATATAATTAACAAAACAGTTTCCTCTAATATGATGCAAAAAGTCCAAACAATACTTTTTCCCACCATGTTCTCTATGCAGAGCATCCCTCCTGTAGCTCGGTCCACCAGTGTCCACCCTGTATGTTCTGTGTAACCTAACTGGGTTTGTAAGTGAACAAGGGGCTGCTTTATCAGAAATATGTGCCTAATGTTTCATTTTTAATAAAGCACAGGTGATACTTGGGCTGCATTATCATGTCCAAGACCATGCTTTTTAGGATACCACCTTTCCCAAGATAGCACTTTCTTAACTGAGAGCAGCAAGTCCATGTTCAGTGTTATTTGGGGCAGTGGTGACACATTTGTGTTGTAGCATCTCAGTTTGGGTCTTAATACTCATATTGCCAATACTAGGAATTTTAAAAAGCCAGCAACTTCAATAATGCCACCAAGAAGCTCTGGCCAGTTCTCTCCACTGCCCCCGTCAATGGGACTCAGTTGTGGTGGTCAGCTCGAACTTTTGAAATATGGAATGAATCCAAGTACAGTGGAGTGCATCTATTGAGCAGCGGTGGGCGGGGATCAACCTGGTGGAAGTGGCTGTTGCTAGGTGCCATTGAGTCCAGCCCTTAGTGACCACAGAACAAACACTGCCTGGTCCTGTGCTGTCCGTGCAAGTGTTTCTGTGCTTGAGCCCATTGTTATAGCCAGTGCCGGTCCATCTCCTGAGGACCTGCTTCTTTCGAGCTGCCCCTCTACTTTACCAAGCACGACATCCTTCTCCAGGGACTTGTCCCTCTCCTGACATGTCCAAAACATGGAAGACAAGCCCCATCCTCCCCGTGTCTAAGGAGCACTTTGGCCGTACTTCGTCCAAGATTGATTTGTTTGCCCTTGTACCAGTCCGTGGTACTTTGAATATTCTTCACCAGCACCAGAATATAAATCCATCCATTTTTCTTTGGTTTTCCTGGTTCAGTGTTCAACTGTCACATGCCTGTGAGGCAAATGAAAATCCGGGGCTTGTGTCAGGCACACCGTAGCCCTCAAAGTGACATCCTTGCTTCCCAGCACTCTGAAGAGGCCTTGGGTAGTATATTTTCCTAATGCAGCACATCTTTTGATCACTGGACTGCTGCTTCCATGAGCATTGGTTGTGGATTCAAGCTAGACAGAATCCTTGACAACTTCAACCGTCTCTCCATCTACCGTGTTACCTGTTGGTCCAGTTGTGAGGATCTTGGTCTTGACACTGGATTGTAGTCCATACGGAAGGCTGCAGTCCTTGATCGTCATCAAGGACTTCAAGTTCTCCTCACTTTCAGCAAGCAAGGTGGGTCATTTGTAGATTGAAGATTGTTAATAAATTTTCTTCTGATCTTGATGCCACACTCTTCCTCATATTATCCAGTTTCTCTGATTATTTGCTCAGCATACAGATATAGTAACTATGGTGAGAGGATACAGTCCGGACCTAAACCTTGCAGTATTTCCTTGTTTTGTTCACAGAACTGCCTCTTGCTCCACGTACCATCTCTGCCTGAACACAATGAAGTGTTCTGCAATTCCCATTCTTTTCAAGGTTATCCATAGTTTGTTGTGACCCACAGCACCTTGAGGAGAACAGGGTATTGAATAAGGAAGACTAAAGAAGAATAGATACCTTTGAATTGGGTTCTGGAGAAGAATATTGAAAATACCGTGGCTGGCTAAAAAGGACAAACAGATCTGTTTTACAAGAAGTACAGACAGTATGCTTCTTAGAGGCAAGGATGGCGGGACTTTGCCTCACATACTTTAGACATGTTGTCCGGGGAGACCGGGCCTTGGAGAGGGAATCATGCTTGGTAAAGAAGGCTCAGTGAAAAAGAGGAAGGCCCTCAATGTGATGGATTGGCACAGTGGCTTCAACGACGTACTCGGTCAGCTATAGGAACAGTTCTGAGGATGGCGCGGGATCATGCTGTTGGGCTTTGGGTTGATACGGGTCGGAGACAATCAGTAGCACCTAACAACAACATAGATGACAGTGAAAGCCCAAATCCATTTGCAGAGTCCCC